ACCTTCGTCAGGCACGCGTTCGCCCTTGTCCAGCATAAACTTACCCGACGACAAATTCGCAAGTTTATTTTGAAAAGCTTTTGATATTCAGACTTTTGAAGCTTTTTGAAATAAAATTTTTGGAGCCTCAAACTGTTGTTCGACATTCAGAGATCTTTATGAGGCTTCGGGACAGCACTATTCTAAGAGAGAAAAAATTCAAGTTTTCAAAATCTTCTCTCCTTTCCGCTCAGTCGCGCATTAAAAAATTAAAAGAGAGGAATGCGCTGTTCTTTGATCTCTCGATTGACCACTTAACAGAGGAGTTGTATAAGTTTTGAGGAAAACTAGGTGCCCTTTATTTCAGAAAACTAGAAGCGCGTCGAGTGCAGACCACACACCACAAGTGACGACGGCCTCCAAGTAAATCTGGTAACTAGTGATTCATAGTGATAGCTGATAGTTGGTAACTGAGAGTTGTAATTAGTGACAACTGATAGAGCACAAATGCACTTTTTTGTGGTACGTGGTCTGCACTCGACACTTTGGTTCGCTGAAACAGAGCGTAAGTATCTGAAAGAGAATGTTTCGTCGATTTGAAATTTGCTCTCAGATTGGTAAAATGTTGACGCTAAAGGGAGTTATGCCTGCTTCGAATGTTATTACTTTGAGAACCTTTCTTTTACAGCCTTTCTTTTCCACGGTGTGATAGAAAACTTATGGAGTGTTCAGAGTTGGCGATCGTACGTGCGATAGGCGATTAGGCGAGTAGGCGATTAGGCGGGAAGACAACATACGTATTGATTGGTTTGCTCCGCCCATAGAACGTTGTAGGCGAGTAGGCGATTAGGCGATTAGGCGATCGCTCAATGGGCGGAGCAACAAATCAATACGTATCCTTCTCTTATCGCCTACTCGTACTCGCCTAATCGCCTACTCGCCTACTCGCCTAATCGCCTAATCGATACGTATACTTTTCTTTTTGAATCATCGCCTAATCGCCTAATCGCACGTACGATCGCCAATTATGAACGCTCCATTGCGTGTTTCTACGAAAGAACTACACAGCTCACAAACACGTTTGCGGAGGAAAGTTAGGAGACCACACAAAAACTTGGCCCCATGGTTCTGGGTTACTCCTCACTCTAGCGAATCGTGTCCTAACAGACACCACCTGCTCCGTTCATTAGCCTCTTTTGAAGGAATAGAAAAACTCCCCACTCGATTATCGCCAACTTTGGAAATGGACATCCGGCACTTTTGAGTGAAATAAAAAAATGAGTCTTTCAAAAATTGCACCAGATCTACAGTTACTCAACTTGAGATCTACTAGCAGACATAGTCAACCAATATTCGAACGAGATGGTCGCATATGTAATTTTGGAAAGGGGGATCGCATTTTGTGATTGGTAAGCAATGTTCTTTGTCCTTAATGAAGCGCTGCGAGACCGGATTGTCATTTTGAGGGGTTTATGAACAGAGTATGGGTAAAAGATGGAATCTGAATAGAGATAGTTGCGCGCTTCATGTGCCAATTTCCATTTGCCAAAGGGATTTATGGTGAGCCCTGCCTAAGTCTCATGTGTTGGAGTATCGTCGGCTCGTATCGAGACCCTCGTGAAGGTGGTGAAGCACCTTAGGAAATGTCGATGCGCGTAAAACTTTGTTTGCCAAGTGTCGAACGCCCGAGAGTTGATCCTTCTAGAAAACTAAAGATCATTCACGAGATGGCTGGATCTCGCCACTTAGGCTGGTGTCAGAGTCCGCGATCCGTCGCAGGTTCGCTGATTTTCGCGATTTGCGCGATTCACGCGACGGGTCACGGAAATCACAAGTGCCCGATCAATACTGCAAGGTGTTCTCCAATCCTGCCGCCACTTCTGCTTGATAGTGATGGCTGAATGACGACTGCTCATGATTCCACTTGTTTCATATTCAGTGTTTCAAATGTTCACACACTTGCAATTTTTGCGATCCGTCGCGTGAATCGCGCAAATCGCGAAAATCAGCGAAACCTGCGACGGATCGCGGACTCTGACACCAAGCAGGAACTTAGTACGTAAACCTTAGGCTAATACCAGACGTCGCATAGCGCAGCTAGTAAGCGCGCTCATCTACTCACCTTCTGAGGGAAGGGCACCCGTGATAGCATCGATACTTCGCTAGAGGAGCCCACCTTGCGGATCATATCCGCTCCATTTAGTGTCAAGCACACAACAAGTTTCTTTTCCTGCGCTTCGCTGTCCAGATTGCTCTTATCACAAATTGCTACTCACATGCATGCTGATGCCACCCCATCTTAGGGCTTACCATCAGTTCCAAGCACAGTAATTGGCTGACTCACTCACTGACTTAGATTTCCCACTCCTACCCCCCTCCCCACCCCCAAGGGGCATGAGCTCTTGAAACTATTCCCACCCCTCCCCCCTCCTTCCCCCACAAGGACATGAGTGCTTAAAACTACATTAAGGTAGTTGATTTGATACTGTGTTTTGCGGAACTGCGTACACGGATCAAGCCGGCGTGTAGTGTTTGGGATTACTAGACAATAGCAAACATGCGTATTGATCGCATTGGATACGAAAAAATCATTTTAAAGGCTTTGCTAGGCGAATGCTCCACAGTGCCTGCCCCCTCCGACATCTACAATTGCGCCCTTTTTCTCTATCACTCTTCTTCTCGTGATCACAGTCAAACACAATATATCGTAGGCATTATCATTGCTTCAAACCTAAAGTGGTTCCAGACCAATTTTCAAACCGAGCAGCATTTTGGAATTTTTAAGGCTCAAGGCGAATCGACGCCAGCTGAGTGATTTGCGCTGCCCCACGAGCGACTTCAGCAGTCTCGGCGATTCGACGTTTGAGCGATCTTCTGATCGTTGCGTATGCATTCACTTCAGCGCAATCAACGGATCGGTGGAACACCAAAGCTGTGAGCTATGGCAAGTGTCAACCTTTGTGACCAATCGTTTTGAAATGGCGCGATTCGCTAGCGAATGGTCGCATAATCTGACACTGCTCCGCGCAATCGCAGGTTTGCTCGTGCGATCAGACCGACGTCACACTCGGCGACGGACAAGCGATGGAGCGATCGCGATCGCTCCATCGCTTGTCCGTCGCCGAGTGTGACGTCGGTCTCACTGGGATCGCGAGTGTGCCATCGTGGCATCTCGTGTCTCGTGTGACAACAGCCTTGTTCAAGTTCCTCTTGATCCTTTTCTAAGGCTTTAGAGTTCTCTGCTTCTCTATCAGATGATTATTCAATCTTCACCACGTTCGTGTACTATTGCAATTGTTAAGTTTAAGACGAAAACTAGCTACATGACAGTCCCAAGTATACACTTGTGACCCTGTCCAGCCGCTTCCGCTCCAAGTCCACGTAACAACCAGGCCCCTGGTTCTGCGGGTTTGAGACCGCTCTCTATCCTTTAGCTGCCTGCCACTAAACACAGCCTACCTTTTATCTGCCACTGTTTCTGTGTGGCCTCTCTCATGATTTCATGCATTCTGTCTTCATGCGATTCTTCACTGCTTGGTCTACGCCTCTTTCATTGCTAGGTCGATCCCGAAGCACGGGGCGCTTCAACTTCTGATACTGTCACAGTTGAAGCCCGTGACCTCCTGGGAGATTGACTGAAAATTGCGATGTGTGTATAACGGGATCGTGGAGTCTCATACAACATTAAAGGTTTTCGCGGTGCTAAGTGGGTTGGGGGACCACACGGCGGCGCGGCACTCTCCTCGCCTGGCATGTTCGGAAATCCGTGAGCCTATGGCCGATGTCATAGTTTGCGAATCGAGCGATTCGCTAGCGAATCGCTGGATCCGAGCGTTGCGCCAGCGAATCGAACGTTGCACCAGCGAGTCGAACTATGTACCAGCGACTCAATAGTGGCGGGACCCAACGTTCAAAAGGAAGCCGCTACTTTCGAAACAGTGTCACGTGACAGTGGACCTTTTTGAAAGTGGCGGGACTTGACAGTGGACACTGTTTGAAAGTGGCGGGCTTCCTTTGAACATTGTGGGTCGCTAGTACATAGTTCGATTCGCGCTGGTGCGAAAATTTTTGATCGTGCGCAACGCTCGACTCGCAAACCACCACATGCGGACCTACTACAAATAGCGGGAGTTACAAATGCAGTCTTAACGCGTTACTCCGGCCGCACAGCGCAGAGTTTCGTCTCCATTATTCTGCGCTGTGCGATCGAAATGAGCTTCAACCTCTTCAGTCACGGATCGATTCAGCACAATAAATCGAGACTGGACGTGTGACGGATCTTCGATTCGAGACGTCTTGATAGGTCTGTAACTACACCACAGAAAATCATTTACTTCACGGCAATCATGCTGCGCTCACAACAGTCGTTTGTCCTTGCAGCAATCCTTCTCCAAGTCGTTCTTAGAGTTGTACGCACGTTTCTTTCTGCAAATCAGTGTGCGTGTTTTTCTTCATATCGCATCGCAATGACAACCGCTTGTCGTGCTCCAACGGAGTCGCGGCGTAACCTGCGTACATGCGCGTTCAAATTCCGAATGAGCGCTGGAAGACTTTATGTATTCATCTCTAGCTTTTTCGAATCTAGAATTTGTAAATACCACATTATGTATATTATAAAACGATGGTATTTCAGTTGAGAAAGCAGTACAGGGCTCTAGGAGCTTCCGTTCCATTGCCAGTATCCATCTTCACAGCTACTCTATCTACTTATTGTCAGGCTGTCGCCTATGACCGCATCTGACATTCATCCGAGAAGGGTAGAAAATGCAGGTTCGTCTTTAATTCTACAACTAAAAGAATCAATATTCGAAGCAAAGCGTGCTTTCTGTCACTCCACTACTGACGCTTCACAACAGACGTTATAGAGCTTGATTTATGTTTGGTTTACCGTTGTTAGCGATGTTTGATTGCTTGAATAACTTCTTGTAATGCGCTTGAGAGTTCGTTTTCTTTTCAGTCGGATGATCCTGCTTTCTTACCACCCGGAACCGAAGTCAGTGCGAAGTTCAAAGGAGCATTCTGCGAAGCTAAAATTAAGAAATTGTGCAAATCTGTGAAGTGTAAGGTGAGTAGATATTTTTCTCTAGTATCCAGCAAAATTGATAAGAGATGTTCAGTTCTGTTCAGAGATGTCCGCTTACGCGAAAAAACGCAGAGGCGAAATAAAATGGAAATCTCCGCCAAGATTAACACTTTGGAGACCGCGCGTGTTTTACGTTCCGCGGCCGCGCGGGACTTCGGTGAAATTTTTAGGGATCTTATCTAGCAAATTCAAAAGAAGAACCCACTGTATAATGCAGAAGAAATCTTATCGGATAAAATGGAAAAGAAAATGAATGAAAAACCTAATAATTGTTTCCGAAATGCGAGCTGAAAGGTCCTATGCGGTCGGAGGACTGCAGCCCACATATGGGCTGCGTGGGCTCCAAGGTGTTAAGATAGGCATCGGTTGAGAAATTGATTAAACGCGTAAGCGAAACGTCCGGAGCAGGCGAATTTCAGTCAAGAGTTTGATATGTATCGACTGTGAGAAACGCACAGGCGGAAAATCGCGTGAGCGAAGCGTTCGTAAGTCGATGCGTATGATACTCATTTTCGTCGATCCTCCCACTTCACGATTCTCCTGTGCGTCTTCGCTCAGTCGATACATATTTCACATTTATTTCGCCTATGCGTTTTTTCGCCTAAGCGGACATCTCTGAACAGGGCCTTATCGGACCGGTTTATTCTGCGTATTTTAATAGTTCTTCAAATATTTCTACTTGTTTCGAATGCGTTTCAGACGTAATTGATGACACATTAGCTTTTGTTTTGAACAAAGCTTTTGCCATCCACAGGACAAAGTCATCCTCATCGTCCCACCTTCACATGGATTAGACCAGTTTTACTCGATTAATCTAGCATTTCATGTTCCAATTTCATTGTTTACATCACCGGATAGAAATAGTATTGCCAGCGACGCTATAATTGAAGAGAAAATGGTGGTTCTGAGAAACACAACGGGTGAATGTGTTAAGGCTTGTAGTTGGAAGCGCTCGTGTATAGTTTGGATAAATATTTCAGGTTTTGCTTAAAGAAGCTCCATTCGGATCACTGGTAGTGGAGGAGCATCTCGTTAGAGGAACTTTGGAGGTGAATCAAAACGTTGATGTATCTCACGGAAAACATCTACTAAAAGGTGTTATTCAGCATGTCAAAGACTGTAGCACGTATCACGTTGGTAGGTTCTTTTTTCGGCTTCGCAACGTTCGCTCTCATTTTTAATGCAGTGCAAGTCTTTATTATTTTTAATTTGTAGTGTTCAATGACGGTGACGAGAAGGTATTACGACGTACTCAGATGTGCCTCAAAGGAGCTAGACATTTCGATAGTGAGTCAAATCTGGATCAGATGCCGTTGTACAATCCTGAACAGTTTTGTGCTGCTCCCAAGCCACAAACCAAAGCAAAGAAAGTGAAAAAGTGAGTTTTTCATTGGAAGCTCCTAGTTCTTGGGACTGGTAAGGTTTTTATTTATATGGTTTCTCACACGTAGCTGAGGCAGCTATCCCACCTCGACGACATGTGGGGTACCGTGCATCGATAAAATTACGTCTGGGACTTTTTACCAGTTGTTGAAGCACGGCTACCACTGCCCTGAACAAATTCACTACCACTTGGTTTCGACTGCCTCGTAACGCCACCATGCTGATCCGTTCAGTTCTGCTTTTTTTTTGTAAAAGCTTTATTCTGTGAATGCATGCATTTATATATGTTCAGCTGTTCACTCCAAGAAGACTTTATAGAGCTAAACGACGAAGAGACGATAGCAGTGAGGATGATGGTGGAAAGAAGAGAAACAAGAGAGCAGCTGCTTCTGCTGCCTCAGTAGCCATTGGAGAAATGGATCAAGTTTGTAAACGCACCTTCTTTCTTCTTTTCTCTCTCTGTTCCGTTCTTTTTCTTATTCAGGCTGTGTGTATAAGATCGTATAATTCTAACCTAATGTTTTCGTTTTGTTTACCAATTGTTCAAGCGCTAACAAGGGAGGTCTTTCAGGGCAAGGTGCGCTTTTTGGAAACGGTTTAGTACATGTTGTAGGGACGCATGTATGGACCACAAAACCATGTTTCGTTTTCGCTGAACGGTTTTAGTAGTACCAAAAAAGTGGTGAATAATACTCTTGATGGTTCAATCCCCGCGGCGACTAAATTTTGCAATCAAGGTTGGCGGCCACTTGTTGGCTTCAAAATGGTCCTGACGATGAATTTGACATCTGATTTTGATATTTAGCGCGATTTGGCACCAAACCGTAGGCGCCAACCCAAATGCAAAATTTAGTCGCCACGGGGATCGAACCCTTAACAGTACCTTATGCTTCTTTTTTGGTACTGCTATAACCGTTCAGCGAAAATGAAACATGGTTTTGCGTTCCCTACATGCGTCCCTACAATATGCACAAAACCGTTTTGAAAAAGCGCACCTTGCCCTGAAAGACCTCCCTTGTAAGTTACTGCTTTTGAGTCATGCTTACCTAGGGAGATGCTCTTTCATCTAGGGCGATACAGAAGGTAGTGGCGATGCGGATATGTCGGGAAGTGAGGAGGATTCGAGTGAAGGAGAAGTCGAGCCTGAGAAAGAAGACAAGAAAAAGAAAGACAAAAAAGAGGAAGACGAGAAAAAGGAGGAGACTAGTCGAAAATCCCAACAGGCTCAGAAAGCGGAAGCAAATCGTATTGAAGAAATCCGTGAAAAGGTGGTCTGACAGCATTCACTAAGATTCCGCCGAAATCTTTGTTAACTTCTATAAGGCATTTTGTAGCTTCGTGATGGAGTCGTTGTATGCGTTTATGAAGACTCCCAGCATCGTGGCAAATGGTTCCCGGCAGTCGTTGTAAACCCAAAAGCATACAAGTTGGTTTACTATAATAATAAAATACTTGTGTTGTTAATCACTATGTAAGATGCTGATTGCACTTAGGGATGGCAACAACAAGGCCAAAAGCGTCGGCAAAAATGAGATTCCTGTGAGGAGCTTCCAGAATGCTAAATAGTTCGTTTTTAATCATGAACACTGCTCAGCATGTAACAAAGCAGAGGCGATTTTTGGCATTTCAGTTCGCAAGTCTCACTGGCAAACTTATCTCTTTTCGAAGACCAGCCAATGAATAAAAAAGCAATGGATTCGATGAGTAATGCGCTACGGACAGCAGTTGATCGCGCGAACTCTTTTCAGAGCAAAGGTATGCCTTTTTGCTACGCTCCTTATGTCTTTAGTTCTAGCATAATGTTTTGGAGATTTTTTGGTGTCGTCAGTCATCTTTCTCCTTTTTAACTAACTATAATATATTGATTGCATTCGATTTCTACACGAGGACCTTGCGCTGCTAAAGTGGAGCTAAAATTGGGCTTATTGCAAAATTTTGCTAGCCTTTTTTCTTTCGTTTGCTCCTTACTTCTCAAATTTTGTTTTCTCAATCGTCTTAAATCTCGTCTGTACAACTGACTCTTTTTTGTTTATTTGCTTCATCGAAAGTGGTATCTTATTTTCATCTCCCAAAATGAGTAATAACGTAACATGATACTCTATTTAATCATTTCCCTATCAAGAGGGATCTATTTCCGAAAAAGCGAAAGTATAAATAGTCGTACAAAACGTTAAAAAACACACTTTCACCTCTAATATTTTACTTCTCAACATATACATTACCAGCTTTCCTTCCACACCCAAAAGTTTGTGGAGATGGATTTCGTTTCAAAGCTTGCTTCAATCCTTCCATAGTAATGAACGCAGGTTCAATTAAATCTCTGTTTGGTAATCATTTTTGTAACTTATGTTGAATCTTTCACATCCTCTAACACAATCACGAATACTCCAATTTTCGCTTTTCGCTCGTGTGGGACGGACGCGATTTCCGCCTCCTCGTCTCACAATCGTGGATTTTGTGTAGTTGATGAATAAAAACATGAAATTCACAGAATAATTTCAGTAATGTTTGGTGCTTAGAGGTCTAGTGATACATTAGTAGTGCCTCTACCAAAAAGACGTGTATCATGAATGAAAAGGCACTATTTCATCACTTCCGTTGCAGTAGAGGTCAGAAACTTTTTGCCTAAGTTGTTTCGGAAAACACTCTTCTTTTCATCCATGAAATTTTGCCCTTACCATTAGTCCTAGTACTCCTATCGTTCCCGTGTTTCGCAATGAAAAGAAAGGAAATTACCGATTCAAAAATTTTGTACAGCTCAGGAAAATTTTCAAAATGGGCTTGTCTAACCTTTCGGTGAACTCATTTTCTACAGCTGTGTATTAGTTCCTATTTCATTCATTGATATAAAAAAACGGCATGAGCCATTGTCATGGGTTCATTAGCTCAAAGCTCACATGGGCTGCCATAGTCCCACGAGCACACGTCTCTATTAGGCCGTGTGGGCTACCATTAACGTGACTGTGTTGAGCGGTTCTTCTTCATACTTTTTTCTGAAAGATTTTTGGTGCTGTTGGATTGAAAAAATTTCGTTATTCGTGTTTTAGGCACTCTCCCTAACAACTGGACAGCAAAAGAAATTTATGCGGACAGCATACCGCGTAAAAAGGAGCCCGCTAAAAACGCTTCTGTTGGAAAAGGTTCTAAAAAAGATGATGAAGCAAGTAAAAAGGAGGACGATAAGAAGAAGAAAGCTGATAAGAAGTTAGTTTTGTGTATTCTCAGACTTCCACTGCAGTATTTCTATCACAGGATATTAGCACAACTGTTACGAGTTGGACTGGTTCAAAGTTTATGATCATGTGGATTTTTCAGAGTAGAGAGCAGTTCGTCCAGTTCTGAAAGCAGTGATGAAGAAGAGTATGGAGAAGAGCGAGATTTGTTCGTCGCACAGTTGTACAAGTTCCAAGAAGAGCGAGGTGCGTCATTTACCAACTGGTAGAAGGTGGATTCCTCGAACTTCTTAGTGGTTACGATAATTGCAGGTACTCCAATCAATCGTGCACCTATTCTGGGTGGGAGAGATATAGATTTGTACCGCTTTTATCGAGTAGTTCAATACTATGGAGGTTGCAAAAGGGTGACAACAAATCAGCTTTGGCGAAAGGTGAGCAATGCACTTCAACATTGCGTCAAATTTCTCGATTACAAGATCAGATTCCTTCAAGGTTTTGTGTAAACTGCATCTGGAAGGCTGCCCTGGAGCTACACCGGTTACTGTTCGAAAGGCATACATACGGTAATTCTTACTTTTAGGTTCTACTGCTTGTTTTTTTTTGCTCATGTTTTTATGTTCTACTTGCTACTTTATGATGTGGCATATCAATACTTCTTCAAATTTTAATTTTCAATTACCATTTTCTATTGACAATTAGTCTGGCGCGCTTAGTATTTTGAGTTGTATCTCGTAATGCTTTGAATAAGTAGGTATTGGATGATCTCAAATGTTAGCGAAAGAGTAGCGATGTTTTGTGCCCTCTGGGTTTTTGGTTGGAGCGCCTTTTTTTAGAGTCTAATCCGCAAATGTCACCCACCCTGTGTAGTCGTTGTTGGCTTACCAGTCACGAGGGTACTGCAGGCTGTGCATTTGTGCTTGCTCATTAATTTTCCTAGTTGTTAAAGGGTGAGGTTGGCATAACGTGCGGACCAGATCACCTCGAAGTTACTTAGTACATCATCCCTCATTTTCATATGCTATCACCTTTTTGTTTCCTTCTTGCTGCTTCAGGCGTTTTGCGTTGACAATTTCATGTTCAGGCTTTTCTATCCATGAAGTCTTGTGAATTCCTGCATATCGCTCTTCCTCCTAAAAGTTCACATTTTTTTGTGAAACATTTGTGTGAAAATCGTGAAGATTGCAAAGAAGCTATCACTTAAATTGCAAGTGGAGCATTAATTCAGTTAGTCTTGGGAAAGTTTCAACAGCGCTACTTGAGCCGTGTCCTTGCAAAGACTAGAGCACTCTTGAACTATAAATGTGTGTGTACAACAAGCAACCAAAACATATCAATTCTTCACCAGAATTTTACTCAGCCATCTTTATGCTTACACGTTTTGCTGAAGCATGAACACATGGCGGTAGCATCTCTGCTTCAGGCTTTGCAGTCCTTGGTTTGCTTCAGATATCTGGCGCATTTCAACTCTTTCTACAAAAGGCTCGGTTGGTCCTTAGATGAACTTTCAATAACGTCCACTATCAATAGTCCACGCGAGCGTCGTTTGATCCGGCCTGCAGAATTACTCAATCAGAAGGTGAGATTATAAATCATCGTTGTTCGTCCTCTATTCATTTTTGCCTTTTCTGTCCTTTCATCCCACAATTCCTTCACTTCGTAGGGACCTTGTCTGTTTCACAGACTTTCCTCACTGTTTTGTGAATAATGTAAATTTGTTGCCGTGATGCTCGATATTCAGCCGATAACCAAAAGGAAGAAGTCTACTACCACCGAAACTAAAGAGAAAGTTACCAAGAAAGGAAAAGAAAAATCTGAAGGAACTGATTCTAAGGAGACTTCTCGAGATCCCGAGCCCTGCACCAGTAGAGAGCGCTCAGTGTAAGCTTTTATTATGGGTTTACAAGAAGTGAAAAATTAACTCCAACTGCTCACCAAAATCATGCAGCTCGTCTCCTGTTTCTTCTGTGCAAGAAAAACCGAAAAAGGTGGACAAGGAGGAAGATGGAAAGAAGTCCGATCGAAAATCCAAAGACGAGGAACCCAAAGAAAAGGTTCCTTTATTTGTGCGCTTTTGTATGTTTTATTCTTTTTCAATTGGATTTCTTCAGGTTGACAAAAAGGATAAGAAAGATTTGGACAAGAAGGATAAGAAGGAGAAGCTGAAAGAAAAAGAGAAAGAGAAAGAAAAAGAGAAGGAGAAAGAGAAAGAGAAAGAAAAGGAGAAGGAAAAGGAGAAAGAAAAAGAAAAGGAAAAGGAAGAGAAAGCCAAAGAGAAAGACGAAAAGAGTAAAGCAAAACGAGAAGAGAAAACCAAAGAGGTGGAGGATAAGCCGACCGAGAAAGTTGTCGAAAAGGTCAAAGATCGACCTGAAGTCAAGACCGAACGAGAGATTGCTGTTAGTCCACCGGTTGCAAAACCCGAAACAGAATGTTCCACCGTCTTGCAACGGCATGAACCCCGTGAAAGCGAGCAAGATGCTCGGGATCGACCCACATCTGGTGAGAAAGACTCAAGTATCGAGAGGAAAGATCACGATATCAGCGACGAGGATGGCGATGGTGAGTATTAGTTAAGTTCCGTGAAAATATCAAGGCGACACAAGTGCACTTTAGGGAAGCGGAAAAAAGAACGAAAAAAGATACCAAAGTCCGAGAAGAAAGGCGGAGATGTTGGCGATCCCGCGAAGTCGAAGGATGCTGATGAAGGATATCGGCCTGCTAACATGTAGGGTCTTTTTCATGTCTCGAACAGCTGGTATTCGCCGAGAATGTATTTCTAATCTCCTTATATCCTTCTAGTGTCTCGCGATTTTATCTCGGACAGAAAGTTCGTGCCCATCATCACGGCAGATGGTACGACGCTCGAGTGGTTACCGTTGAACAACCATCAGTCAAAGAAATGGTCGAGATTATGGAAATGCATGACGAAGAGGTACATATTACGATCCATCCGGTGTTTGGTGTTTTTATGGGGCGCGATATAATGTGCAGCTCAGTACATATCCTCTAGCTCTAGATTTTCTCCAGCTCTTTAGTTTTATCTATTAAAAAATTCAGCCTCCATAGAAGAGGTTGACTTGGTAGTTTGATTTTATTAGTGGGAGTACTTCGAAACTGGAAAATATAGAAACAAGGTGGGCGCAATGTGGCTCGGGGGGGGGGCAGCCGCCGCGCGCGGCGTTGCGGCAACAGGAAATTCGTGAGCCAGGGGGAATGTAGCCAATTCAGGGGGTGGGGGTGAGGGCAGTCACTTAGCATGCGTGAGAAGCTGGAATGTTCGAGTTACACTACATCGCTGAGCCGCGCGCGGCGACTGCCCCCCCCCCCCCCCGAGCCACATTGCGCCCAAGGTTACTAGTTAGCCACAAAAAGCTCCGTCCATTAAAAAAATTATGCCTCTACATTCTCGTTGTCACGATGACACTTCGATTTGAAATTCTGTGTTTTCTTGTCTGTCAACTATAAGAGCTCATAGGTCTTTTTAATGCTAATGTTTCCTGTTAATTTGTTTGTTTATTACTCAAATTCTTTTGATTATTTACTAATTTATTTATTTATTTATTCGTTGCAAACCGTTTATGTGTTTTTATTCGTCGGTTCTCATGTTAGGGTTGATACTTTAAGAGCCGTTCCTAGAACATATCTTCCCTTGAAACTTGTTACAAGTCTGTTGTTGGCAAGCTCTTCTCACTTTGGTCAACTACTACTTTCATTTTATGTGTTTACTTTTTTGTGAAAGTTCTACATCATAATAGTCGAAAAGGTAATTTTTGCAGTAGTCAAGATACTTGAACTCATGTCACGTGTGTTAAGATTGCTCAGTGACTTCACTACAGCGAAATAGATTAACCCTGAGTGTCTTACTATTTCATTCAGTTTCATTTTATATTTTGTCTTACGTTTTCAATCTGCTTCTTTTTTGTGTAAAAATTTTACAAAATAATGTCCCTCACGAACTGATTGAGATTCCCGTGCTAAATCTATCTAAGGTGTATTTGCAAAAAGTCTGCCAAAGGACAATCAATACATGCCAAATATTGCAGGGTACCGGACTTTCCTCCCAAGCAATCGCTCGTCTTCGTCTTGTGCTGAACGCTACACGATGCTTTGTACATTATCTGGGCTGGAATTCTCGTTATGATGAGTCTATAACTCTAAATAAGATTCGGATCAGCGAAAAGGTACAGATTTTTAGAATTGGATTCATTTTTTCTTATCTCTAAACTCCATTATTCTAGGATGACATGTCGTCGCTCGACGCTATTGTTCGAGAAATGGGTGACAGGATTCCGAAATCTCGTCTTGATTTTCTTCTTAGGTGGTCAAACTCGACTGACGGCGTAGAAAGCCTCACGCGGGATGATGTTGCTGCGCCATCAAATCTTTTCAGCATGGTTTGTTCTTCATTATTGTGTAGACCCGCAAACCTTTAGTAAGTGGCACGCACACAAGGACAGCGGTTTCTTCAGAACCTTAAAAATGAGGAAAGTAGTCTTTCTATTCTAGCCTCTGTAGGATTCGAGTTCTAGTTTGACTCACATTTTATTTAAATGCCTCTGTGAGAGGTTAGAAAACAAAAAAATTCTGTTTGTTCCCCCAAACGTCTTATCGATAGTCAATCACTTCATTATATAAACCAGAACTTTGGTGTGTCGGTTTGTCGGTGTGTGTGTCGTTCTGTCCGTCCGGACCACCGCTCACAAAACCAGGGAGTACGAAGGGCAACACTTCGTGATGTTGATGTCATGATCATGATAACACCCACAGCGGCTATATAAACACCGATCGAGCACACTCAGTCTCATTCTACATGGTGCTGCCGTGGCAGCCGGATGAGCGGGGAGGGGAGAGGGAGAGGGAAGGGGGGGGCAAGAAAGGGGAGCTGGAAGGGAGGAGAGGGAGAGAGAAAGAGGGAGGGAAGGGGGAGAGGAGAAAGGGAGGGAGAACATGGCGCTGCTATGCGCCGGAGAGAAGGGGTATAAGGAGGTATAACACATTCAATAGTGAGGTGGTTAATGGAGTACGTCATGCTGCTATTCCGTGGTTCCTCCCTACCCTGTGATGCGCGCGATAGCGGGCGGAGCAAACCTGGTAGAATTTCACGAATTAGTAAAAAAATCCGATGGTGTAATCCATTGAGCGTGGTCACTAATAGCTCTTTCCTATATTTATTCTCAACTTTGGATCTTTTCGGCTTGTATGGTCATCTGTCTTGCTCAAACGCTAAAACTGAAGCTTCTTTTGCTACCGCGCATTTCCACTTCCCTCTAGTATCGGTGATGTTTGAACGTAGTTTGACCATCGCGATAATTTCCAGAAGATAACCGGTGTGTGATTGAATGTTCCCCCTTCTGAGGGGAGGGGGTGAAGAGTACTCAATCGATCCGGTATAGAGCAGCGCCGCTTACATTGTGCATGATCCGTAGGCAAATCTCTGGGGTGGAGCTTATCAGATTACAAGAACACGTTGATGTAGACCAACACTCTTCAGACATGCTATTTTTAGGGTGGATATCGTCCTCGTCGCGTTTCAATCTCTCAGTACGAGCAGCTAAGTGCTGCAGCAGCAGAAGGTCTGAAAAGAGAGGTTCGTGTTGCACATTCTGCACTTTGTGTTGTGGTTGTATTATCTCTCTTTGTCTATCGTCCTTCTGTACGGTTGTGTTCAGAGTTCCAAGTCGTCTGGAGCAATCGGTGTGAAGGTGCCTCACCACTACCGTGCTAAAACCCCAACAACAGCTCAATCAAAGGCCGAGGTAGGTTACTTCTCTTTTTTGTAATATCATTTGAATTAACTGTAGCGTGACTTTTTCAGCATTCCGTCATCTCCCCAGCAAGCAGTATTGGGGTATCTCCTCCCCTGCGTTCGCCTCCACGTAGCTATGATACAACCTTGCCATCACCTCACACTCGGACCGTGTCGTCACCGCCGCCAGTCATTCCTTCGAAACGTTCGCGCACTATATCTTCGGCGAGCTCAGGAAGGGAAAGCGTACCGATTGCCACCCCCTCTGGGTCGTCTACTCCAGTGCCGGCCACTATATACATCGCGACTTCAAACGAAAAAGTTCTGAGCTCCCCTCAACGTCTTGTATCTCCGCCGGTATGCTTTAAAGAATTCCTGCCTTGGTTAATTTTTGCAGTGAAATTTGTTTGTGGTTGCTTTTTGTAATTTCCGATGGTACTTGCTTACTTTAAAGAGTGAATCTAACTTGAGGGTTTTTTTTTCGAGAGGAACTAAAACGGATGTGCGACTGCTGACATGCAAACTCGTATTTGCTTGGAACCCCTCTACCGCTTGTGTGTCTTGGCCTTTTTTTGAGAATTAGTCAAATATCCTAACAATCGGATAGGGTGAAAGTTAGTTCCCATGGCATGGCATAATTTTATTTTATCTATTAGGTTGGAAAGAAAGTCCTGCAACACTTTTTCAAATTTTTGATTTTAATTTTATCTTTTTTGTTTACAACTCCTGACCGGTCTATATCTACCATGAGTGTCCACCACTTGTCTTCAACGCTCAGAAAATTTCTTGATGCTCCTTTTCCAAAACCCAGCGGAGTGCGGGTCGAGAAAGGAGGCGACCTCACTTTCGAGTTGGAGTTGATCGTCTAATTATTTCGTCATCAAGATGATGATTTAAGGTCCAGGATAGGCAGTCATTTATAGCTCGACCAGGGGAATACGCTAAGAGAGGTAAGAAATCTTGCCGCAGCTCCAGAATTTCTTACCGGGCTCATTTCGGATCATGGTGATTCGCAATGTCATGAAAGAAGAAATAAAACTATTGTCGCGGTACGAAGGCTCCTGACGAGCCTCGGCCAACATGCAGAGTTTCACAGCCGAGACCTCTAGCTACACAGTAGTGCACATAACGAAGTTTTGTAGTTGAGCTTCCGTAAGAGCCCTA